TTACTCACAGCGATGGAGACAGCACTGATGACAGCTCCTAGGTAGCCCTGGATGAACTTGGATGCAGGTGAAGGCTGGAAGGCAAGAGACAGGAGTTCAGGCCCACTGGGTGCCCACACTTTGCCAATAGTCCCAGCCAGCAAGGGGCATTCCTGCCTCCAAGACGGGAGGGTCGGGTGAGAAGGAAGAGGTCCCTCTGGAAGCCAGAAGGACCCCAGCCACCCCCAGTGCAGTTCTAAATATGGAAATACGAGGCAGCACCGTCCAGGGAGATGCCAAAGGGCCCCTGCACTCGGCCCTGTCCTAACAAGGTCACTGGAAGACACTGCTGGCGGGAAGTAGAGAACAGCAAGGGTCAAATGGGTCACCCATGGCTGCGCAAGCAGAACCAGTTTAGGAAGACCACATGGTGTGAGCGGGCGTCTGGCCCTGCAGCACTTCCTGGCTAGACATGGCGGGGTCAGGGCTGGCTCCAGCCTGGCTGGCGCTCACAGGCTTTGTCGACCCAGGTAGCAGCTATGCTTCCATGCAATGGATGACAGTTGCTCAATATTTCTAGGGAAAAATGCACCTCAAATTGCAATGTAGAAAATTAAGAAAGAGCCGAAGAACTTGCCTTTGTATACCACAATGGGAGATGCTTGGTTTAAGGTAAACGGGAGCTGAACAAGCAGAGATGTACGTGTGTGAAGCATATGAGCGAGACATGGACTGAAGGCTTAGATGGGGAGAGTGTGTGTATTCAAGGTATTAGGCCCTGAAGTATTACCCCTCAGGCCAGCACACACCCTCTCCTACCCAAACTGGCAGCCCACCCCCACCCCCAAGGGGTCCAAGATCCCACCTCCCCTCTGCCTGCCTTTGGACCAAAGACCGAGAGAACTGACAGGGGGAAAGGCAGCCTCGCCAGTGCAGCAGGGCCAGCCCCTTCCTGACAGCAGAAGGGTGACTGGGCCTCCATGGTGAGTTCTCCCCAGAAGGGCAGGAAGGGATAAGGTGACAGTCCCTGCAGAGCCAGCATCCCTCACCCTCTGCAGCCAATAGTCTGGGGGCAGCGAGGCAGCTTCCAAGGAAGCTTGAGAAAGCTGAAGGGAAATTCGGTTCCCTCTGGCTGAGGCTGTCCAGGTCCAACATCCGTATAAGAGCCGCTCACAGGGAATTCTGGAGCCAGTGGAGCTGATCCCTGTCGCTGCCCCCCACTCCCATGTTACAGGCCTTCTTCACGTCACGTGGACAGTCCCTCCCAGCAGTGTAAATGAGGTGCCTACAGGAGGGCAGTGCTCAGTCTGATGAGTGGTGTGACGCACTGCAGGGAGGATGAAGGGCGCCCCAGCCTGAAGCCCACCACTGGAGTGTGGTCCATGGTGCTCACCTTGGTAGCATTGCGGTTTGCATAGTTGACACAAGCGTTGTGGCTCTGGTTCAGCCACTGAAAGGCAAGGGGGGAGAGGAGAAGTCAGGGAAGGTGTGCTCACCTCCCTGGAAGCCAGGCCTGGGCCCGGGGAGGCCACACACCTTCAGAAAGACCTGAGTCACTAGCTCATGGTGGGTCCATCCGTCCCACTATTACCATGACCAACTGTCCACTTTGCCTGGGACTGTGCCAGGTTTAGCACTGAATGTCCGCAGCCTTGGGACACCCCCCAGCTCCTAGCAAACCAGGACACTGGTTCTGCCCACCCCGGCAGTCCAACTTGCTCCAGAGACAGTGCCTCTTCCAAAATTATGCCCTAAATGGACCCCCTGCCTTTGCCTCGTCCTCCTTATTACATTACTTACTGGACAGAGGCGGACATTTAGGCCCCTGGAATGACTGACAGCCCTGAACCTCTTTCAAAAATATCCCAGCCCCGTGAACTGCACCACTTGCCGTGCCCAGACACCAGCACTGTTGGAGTTGTGCTCAGGGAAGACTGACATTCTCTCCTGAAGACTGACAGGTTTTCTTCCTTCCCCTCTTTCTCTGCAGACACACACACACACACACACACACACACACGCACACACATGCACACACACACACACACC